ACCGTGCTTGCTTTGCTAGTGACTGTTTATTTAGATGTGTTATAAACTCAATACATAAAATTCCATTTATGAATGAGTGAGAATACATCATATTTTTTAGACATGCTCAGTATTGCGAGTCCCCTGGACTTTTTTTTATCTTGAGTATGTATTGTTTCAAAACTTCGACATTATAACCTCTTACTGAAGAAGATTTCGAGAAAAGTAAATGAAGGTAACACTGATACTCTGCAAGACTCTACAGATAATACGAATATTGGCTATGCTAAAGAGAAAAAACTTGAGGAGGATAGTTTCCGAACGAGTTATATACTGTACCTATATTTTGCAGGTACGTTCTGCTGTTATATGCATACCACTTCAATTGAGCACTWCTTCTTCTCCGGTTAAAAAAGTTCAGTTTTTCAAGTAAAGATATAAAGAAACTCACCGCAAACAACTGCTGAAAAGTAAAGCTGGAAGGTAAACCAAATGTGCTGGTGAGAAGACATGATTTGCTAATGTGTTTGTAATCTGAATGCACCTGCAGTTTAAGGGAGCACTAGAACATTTGGCAATGTGGAGCGACGCCATTTAGTGCTGCAAAGCATGATGGTAGTTGTAGTCCACGCACTTTTCATGAAATATAACCAACGAAGCATGGTAACTGATCGCTGCATTACTTGACTTGACCATTTCCCTGAATTTATGAACATATAGATGAAGGTTTATCATATTTATGTGTGATGTTTAAAAATTGTTAATTATAATTCCGTTTTCTGGAATTCTTCTAGGTGCTTATATAGTCAGTAATTAATTTCTTTTCAATGACTGTTTTCATTGTATTTATTTTTTTGAATTAACACTTCACATTAACGATTAGCGGGTTAGCTTGTAATAGTTGCCGCTGACCCTATGCTGCGTCCCCGATACTTCTGAAATATTTATTTTTAAAATAAACTATGGTCTGGCAACATATAATGGCATCAGTCTTTCCTCCTCTTTTGATGACTGAAAGGTAAATGGAGATATAGAAAAAAARCTTAAATAAGCTTTTTCTCGTCAAGATAAAAGAAAACAAAATCTAGATGACAATGGCAATGCAGCGATATCTGCTAATATCACTGTCCAGTAAAGACCATATATTTACCGATACTTACTTGTGTGTGTAGGTTTACTCTAGCCTCCTCCCCAGGCAACTCTTTTTTCCTCCTTTGGGCTTCCTTTGTAACGGTCATTTTGGCCGTTAGGGACTAGTGACGAGATATTTTCTCGCCCCCATTCTCCCTCTTTTGATTCCTCAAAAAGACAGGAAGCCCGTGATTCTTAGTGATGCCTGCGGAGGAGGCTAGCATGGAACGGGGATTTAGACCAAGGGCGCTAGAACTGAAATTATGACCTATAAGATCCAAAAATTGCTTAATTTATCCAACAAAAGATAGTCGATAATAAATTATAAAGTTTTACTTATCTGAAATATACACTGAAATGTCCTCTTAGACACTAAAAAGCACTTGATTTTACGAAATTCATCCAAATGATCGTTGCTCAAACTCTCAAGCGGTTGTTGCTGAATTTATTACCGCTGTCCTTG